CGCTCCAACAAGCCTTTCCTGCATCTCCGAGAACCTGGGGTCCCTAAACTATGCTACAATTGTAAGACATTTTTAAGCAGAAAATGTAGATGGTGTGTATCCTAAGAAACTCCCCTTCCATTTTATTTTTTTACATTTTCTAAAGTAAGTGTACATTTTACCAGTGGGGAAAGAGACCTGTATTTTATTCTTACACTGGGAAAATTAGAGCATAATTCACTCTGATAGACTCTGTAATATTTCTAAGGTGTCAAAAAGCTGGACCAGGGAGGCAATTTAACTTTGTGTCATATATGACACACCTCCAAAAGTCTGCCGTATGATTTGTATTTGAGCATCAAAAGATGTCATAAACACAGTCACTTGAATAAATCCTGGAAAAATCTTTTTGTCATTTGGAGAAAACCAAGTTTTATTTTTCGTCCATACTATATTTCTTGGTTTCAAGGTAAATCTTGGCAAAGACTTTTTAACAGTGTATCACAAATACAGTACTTTTATAATGAAATTCTTTATTCAATTTTTGCTGTAAAATTTTGCTCAGATATTTTAGTTTTGTTTTGTCATTATTATTGACATGAATTTTATGATAATGAATTATAATTAATGTGTGGATTTATTTTAATTGTTTTATGACCTTGATTGTAATTATTTTATATTCATTTGGGAAGGAAAGAGAAAGAACATGCATGCTGCTCTCCATTGGCTCTCTCTTGGAATATCTGCAATGACCAGGACTGACCGAGCCAAGCCGGATTAGAAACATAATACAGATCTCCCACATGGTGGTGGAATCCAAACACTTGAGCTGCTGCTGCTGATGCCTCTCAGGGTCGGTATTAGCAGGAAGCTGTCATCAGTGCCCGAGCTGGGACTCAGACCCTGGTTCTCTGATATGTACTACAGGGTCTTAACTGATGTCAAAACTGCTAGAGCAAATACCCAGCCGTGAGATGGACTTCTTAGCAAATGAAGCACAGTTTATTCTCAGTCTTCCGTGGTAGTATGTATGGTAAAGACTGACACATTGAAGGAAAAGACACACACGCAATCTAAGAATACTTCATAACTGGCCCAATGCATGAAGTAAGCAAGTGACACAGCCAAAATTCACATCAAATTCAATTTCTGCATGATTTCTAACCCTTCCCTCATTCTGAACTGTGTCACTGTATCAGACGTGTCTAGTAGTTTATTTAACCATCTATTCTTTGTTTTAGGTGATATAAAAACTTCTTTGGAATTCTTTTCAATAAAAATAATGTTGTTCAGTTATAAAACAACTTTCATATGAGAACTGAAGCAATTCAATAGCCCAAACCAAATAATCCTATTAAAAGGAGACAAGAAATTTAAACAGACATTTCTCAAAGGAATACAAATAAATGTTCAAGAGTTTCAGGAAGGGCCCGGTGGCATGGCCTAGAGGCTAAGGTCCTCGCCTTGAATGCACCAGGATCCCATATGGGCACCGGTTCTGGTCCCAGCAGTTCCACTTCCCATCTAGCCCCCTGCTTGTGGCCTGGGAGTGCAGCCAAGGACGGCCCAAAGCTTTGGGACCATGCACCCGTGTGGGAGACCCAGAAGAAGGTTCCTGGTTCCTGGCTTGGGATCAGCACAGCACCAGCCGTTGTGTTCACTTGGGGAGTGAATCATCAGAGGGAAGATCTTCCTCTCTCTCCTCCTCTCTATATACCTGACTTTGTAATAAAAATAAATAAATCTTAAAAAAAAAAAAAAAGAGTTTCAGGAAATGATGCTCAGCATCATCAGTCATCAGATCCTGTAAAGCAAAACCACAGCGGGATGCCAACTCACTCTAGGTACTTGGTCCTTATCAGAAAGACACAAGACAACAAATGCTGGAGAGGATGCAAGGAAGACAGAATCCTCATACACTTGTGGCGGAATGGATATTAACACAGTCATGGCAGAATGCAAAATAGAGATTTCTGAAAGACAGCAAATAGTACTACCACACAATCCAGCAGTTCCATCACTGAGGCAGCCAAGAAAATGGAAGCAGGGCGCAGAGATACCCAAAGGACGTTGAAGTGCGTTTGTCAAAGAGATTCCTCATGTTTATTGCCAACTCAATTCAGAATAGGAAAGGACTGGAAACAACTTAAGTGTTTGTCACTATATGAATGACAAAGGAAATGTGGAGTGTGTGTGTGCGTGCTAAAATCTTGTTCGTAGCAACTTGTTAGAACTGGAAGTTTTTACATTAAGTGAAATACGCCAGGTTTGGCAAGATAAGTACTGGGGTTGGCATTGTGGCCTAGTGAGTAAAGCTGCCACCTGTGATGTCGGCATCCCATATAGGCACTGGTTCGAGTCCCAGCTTCTCCTCTTATGATCCAGCTTTCTGCCAACAGCCTGGAGAAAGCAATGGAGATTGGCTTAAATACCTGCAGCCTGACACCCAGGTGGGAGACTCTGGCCCAGCTGTAAACATTACCGTCATCTGGAGAATGAACCAAGGGAGGAAAGATTCTCTTTCTCTCTGCGATCGTGACTTTCAAATAAATAAGCAGGCTAATTAATGGATTAGATTTAAAAAGTGAAGAAACACAAGTGCTACACTGTCTCACTCGCACGTGAAGCCTGAAAAGCTCAGTCACATAGAAGCTACAAATAGGATGCTGCTTACCTGAGGCTGTAGAGAGTCATGCGGAGAAGGAATGGGAAAGGGTTGCCCGGTGGGCACTAACTCAGAGAGAGGAGTTGGTTTTAGTGTTTTCTTGCAAAACAGGTGGACAATCAATAATGAAAATGTACTTCGTATTTCTTTAAAAATATAAAAACTAAAAATAAATTATTTGAATGTGTCATCATTAAACACTAAATGTTTTTAGGGATAGATGCGTTTCTCCTGATTGAACACTGCATGCTGTATAGAAACATCGCATGGTACTCCATAAAAATCACAACTTTTTATGTGCCAGTTGAAAAGGACACACATTTCATGTAGTTTAGCAGAGCAATTACTCAAGAAATATTTTTGCAAGTCTCTTTAAAGAAGGGAAAGAGACAAGTGACTTGAAAGTTCATAGTGTTTTTGTCCCTCAACACTTAATGTTTTCTTCCAAGTTCTGCTCAACAGCATTGAAAATGTCAAGTGTACTAGTGTTCAGGTCAAACATTCTTCCACCAACAATAAATCTTCAAAATTGTAGGAGCAATCGGAGAATCTTATTTCCAGAAGCAGTGTTCTTGGCCTTTGGTAATCCTGCGTCTGCTGGTGCAGTCGACATCATTGTTCACACAGTTTTCATTTCACATACGCAGGGTGTGCACCTGTTATAGGACTGGCTAGAACTGTTCTTGCCCTTTGGTGTTGGGCCATTCTGCTGAAACAGTGTGTTATAAATATTACAAGGACAGGGGCAGTTTGTGTTACAGGAGAATACAAAGTAATTTTCGTAATAAGCTCATTTCCTATTTATTCCATGTAGCCTAAGATATGAGTCAAAATTTCAACCCATGCTTTAAAGGTTATTTTAAAACATACTTAGTAATTACAGTGTACTTAGAACATGCGCTACCTCAGTGATACTAGACATTGCTTTTGCATAATTTGATCCTGGTTGAAGGGGGATAAAGGAGGGTGTTATCTTTCAAAATAACTGAAAGTTTTAGAACTCACTCTTCTAATGCAAAATCCCTGCTATGCTCAAGCCAGTTGGAACAGAGAGGAGCCTCCTGTGACATCTAGAACAGAAAATGATGAAGATGTGTCACGGCCAGAGAAAGGCAGTTCAGTCTGAGCACTTGTGTTCCTTGATGAAGATATGGAAATCAATTTTTATCTATAGCAGGAAATAATGAAGACATTGAAGCATTGACCAGGCATGGTACATGCTGTGTTATACACCCAATGAAAGGGACAATTTGTTCCGAAACTTAGTATGAGTAACTTGGGTTCCCAGTGTCGTGTTTCACCAGCTCCCCCTTGCCTTCCCACACCTTCTCCTTCACCTCCACATCTTCAGAATCCTCCCACTTTGCTTGATTTCTAGGAATACTTTACTTTCTCAAGGCTTAATCCTACAACCAACCTACTTTGTGGAGCAGCAGGTTTGGTGGGAATTGCAGCTGCTCTGCTTCCGATTCAGTTCCCTGCTAAGCATCTGAGAAAGCAGCGGAGGATGGCCTAAGTGTTTGCGTCCCTGCTACTCACATGGCAGATCCAAACGGAGTTCCATGATTCTGGTTTCATGCTGGTCCAGCTGGACCACTGAGGCAATATGGAGAGTGAGCCAAGAGATGGCAGATGTTTCTCTCTTTGTGTCACTGATTTTCAGATAAATAAACTTGGAAAAAAACACTCTCAGGTTTTAGAAAAAAAAAAAATACAAGATCATCCATTAAGCTTTGTAGTAAATTCTGTTTGTCAGTTCAGAAGTTTCTTTTGCTACATTATTACAAAGAGGAATATTTATTTGGGGAGCAGAAAGCTAGTGAAGAATAAGCTAGAATACTTCAGTGGCTGCCACCTTCTCACACTGGAAGGCCTATCAGTTTTGTTGCATCCTAAAGGTGGGTCTCCAGAGAGCGTCCATGTTTCCTAACTCCACCCTTGGGACCACATCCTGCCAGCACAAAGGTCATTCTTTCTGAGTCGTTTACCTAGAACAGCTATTAACAGTTAATGCAGCTGGAACAAATACACAATCAAAGCCCAACGCAGATGAAAGACATTGCTCTTAACAGATTTCCAGCCAGCAGTGTTCGCTCAGGAAGGAGCTGTCTGTTTGAGTGGTGTAAAATGTTCATCTCCCTCTTTGGAACAGTGAGAACAATGCAGCTCACCTTTAGCTCTTGCTTATGAGGTAGCATTTGTCCTTGTCAGCCTTGGAGAGCATCTTTCATTTTTGTCGAAAAAATGTGAAGAATTGTTTTGTGAATGGTGCTGGATTTGCATTAATCATGTCCTTCAAGGAAACCCTACTATTTTTTTTTTCTCTTGAGTGTTTATGCCCTCTTTCTTTTCTTAGATCCAAGAGGCTATTGAAGCACATTTTGGCAGTCGTGGCAGGAGGGCCATGCTCTACAGGCCTCCATCCTACAACCAACGGGAGCTACAGGTCTACCAGCACATCCTCACCCAGCGTGGCTACACAGCCGTCTCTGCTGAAGCCAGGGTCTCTGCCGGCCTGGGGCTCGGGCTGCTCCACCAAGGTTAGAGAAAGAAGGAACCATGCAAGCTGTATGATGTGTGCAAGAGTGTGCTGCTGTCATCACTAAAAATCTTCACAAAACTATGTTCCTATCCATCACTTTCTCTTTCAGATCACAGAAAACTCTTTTTTAAAAATACTTTCTCCCTATTTTCCTTTAGCTCTATCTCTTTATTCTTGGGATTATTTTGTTTTTATTTTTGTAGCATTTTGGGAGTTGCATAGTTCATGCTTAAATGCTATATAAAACATGTTTATGTTTATGAGCCTGAATACATGCTCTGCCCAGAACCAAACTGCTCCATATTTTAAGAAAATTGCCACTTCATCTGACTGCACCTAGAAAGTGCTGGAAATTGTTTTGAGAAGCCAGTTTAAATGTGATTTGAGATCGGCTCTGAATACCAAGGAAGTGTGATATTTATCATTTACACTGTTTCTCCTTGAGTACTTTTATTTCTATCATTTGAATAAGAAAGTAGGAGACAAGTTTTAAAACAAGTTATTTGGAAAGAAAGTTAAGTCGATAATGGAGGCCAAAAGGCGACGGTGATAATAGGCAGCGTTTCTTGAGCAGCTGACCCTGGGAGAGACTCTCTGCTCTGCTCCATTTCTGCGACCTCATTTCACTCTCTCTGTTGCCCCCAGAGTGCCCTAAGAGCATGAAATATTAATTTCCTCTTAAGATTCCTGGCAGATGAAGTGATTCACTATGTATCTTACACCTGATGAGAGGACTGGACAGAAAGACTCATGCCCCAGCTCTCACAATCTATTTTCTTTCTCTTTAAAGCTTTTTATGTATTTTGACTATGTGAAAGGCGAAGAGAGAGAGGACTGAAGGAGAGAGAGAGAGGACTTCCCATAACATTCGGGCTGGGCTAGGTGAGGTTGACTTAGGCTGTGGGCTAAGAGGAGGACACTCAATCCAGATCTTCACCAGGAGGTTCAGGGACCAAAGCCTTGATTCGTCACTGCTTCCTCCCCATATGTCTATGAGCAGGGACCAGAATCTGCATCAGGGTCAGGACTGAAACCCAACCAAATAGTGTCTTCACCAATGTGACACACTTCCCTCCCCCCCTCTCTTCCTCCGTGTCCTCTTGTCCTCAGTGTCCCATTGTCCTGCACTACTGATCATCATGAGAGCCACGCGTAGAGCAGAGCAGATCAGATGTCTCTGATAACACATGCATTTTCCCACGTATTCAAAGGGAGCAGAGAGGAGCCATTTGAACGAGTGGCTTTGAGTTGCTTTCCTTTGGGATCCTGGGGACACAGTATCATCCCATACAATCTTGCATCAGGATAGCATTTCTTTGGCAGTTGGATGCCCTCTTGATTTCTGCTGAGGAATAGAACCAAGACAGGGAGATGTGTCTGAGCAGATTGGGGCTTGCTGAGCCATGGTCCCCCTGTGCCATCCTGGCAGTGAAGTTATATAGTAGGCATAGCTGGGAGGGACTAGAATCAGGAAGATGTGCTTTGTTGAGGAGAAAGGATATCTGTCAATGTTCACAGCATGGTAGTATGGAAATCAAAAATTCAAGCTTCTAGGAGCAAATGAGAAAAACACAAAGGAATGTGAAGACTGCAGTATCATGTAGAGCTGCCAACAAAGTTACCAACCTCACGGTTTTGCTGGGGCTGGCTCTACCAAGAGATACCAATCTAAAGTTCTGTAACATGTGTAAGCAATATTGTCAGCATGTACCAGAATAGCTGTTGATATGAAATGAAGACAAAATGCTGAGTCTCTCGTGTCACTGCTGCACAGGGCTCACCCTGTGTAACACCACCTGTGTGTAACCACCACTCGGTGCCATTTGAGCCCCACTTCTGGAACAATGCATAGTGACCCTGATGATGTGTTCCTGTGGTCTAAAATTCTCCTGCCCATTTCATGTTGCTTTCCACAGGCACAGTGTAGATGATCTGCACATTCAACTTCAATTCAATTTCAGTTTTCAATTTCAATTTTCCTCAGCTGCAAAACAGATGGATTCTATCTTCGTCTCTCTTGATGTCCCTGGGTCTGTTTAGCAAGAAAAGGAGGATTGTTTTGTAGCTCCCAAAGGACAAGGAAGTGCAGGGCAGCCTGCAGCCAGGAGACTCCAGCAGCAATGGGAACGGCTGGCCCAGAGGCAGAAGGTGAGGACGATGTTACATCACCAGGACCTGTCAGGATAGATGTCCGTTGGGTCCCTTCTCCCACACTCTCCAACACCTTTCAATACGTTGATCTACCTCCTTCTTGACGTTCGTGAACTCTGTATCCTAAGATATTATTCCTGGGAGAGCTTCAAGAAAGGGTAGTAATCCACAGTTGCGGGAGTATGGAAAAGTCATTTTTGGATTTTTCATTTGATTTTATAGTTTTCACTGTGGGAGCAATGTATATTGACTACTTGGAATAAGTAAATTCTGGGATTATAATCTGACATTTTCTTGATTATCTGCCACGGAAAAATAGACATTTTTTAAAAATTGCCACTTATTTTCCATGGTTGTACCTTTAATCTACAAATTATGCTTGCATTGCATTGAGGTAATTAATGAAGAAAAATCTGCTTGAAATGTGAATTTTATAGGATTTATTTTGCTTCTGTGTCACATATTCTTTCTCTGGTTATGATACTGTGTGTATATTATCAGAAAATGAAGCTGTATTAACACACTTGAACTTAAATTTCTTTAGCTGATTGGCATAGGGAGGGGACTTGCAGGAGAATGACGTGAAGTCTGTTTAACTTACGCCCCATTCGGCCTCATCCTCTCCCTGTGTGCCTGGGAAGCAGGGGAAGATGGCTCCAGTCTGCCAGTGCCTGCATAGCCCTGCGAGACCCAAAAGAGGCTCCTGGCTTTCGTCTTTGATCTGGCCCAGCCCTGGCCGTTCTAGCCATTTGGGAAGTGAACCAAAGGCTCTCTCTCTCTCTCTCTCTCCCCCTCCCTCTCACTCTGTAACTCTGTTTTCAAAAACAAACAAAAAAAAAGAAATATTTTTTTAAAAAAATCAATTGGGCTTTGTTCAATTTAGTCTGCCTAAAGAAAAATACACAAGCTGGGTCCTAAAATAGAAAATGGACCTTTTTTTCCCTCTGGATAATTTCGTTCTAGTGACACAATAACAAATGATGGCTGTACTGAGATCTACTATAAGGCTCTGACTGTGTGCACGTAAGATTAAACAAATAAGTTCTCGGTCATAGTTTTCTTTCTTTTTTAAAGATTTATTTATTTTTATTGGAAAGTCAGAAATACAGAGAAGAGACAGAGAGGAAGATCTTCCGTCTGATGGTTCACTCCCCAAGTGAGCTGGAGCTGAGTCAATCTGAAAGCAGGAGCCAGGAGCTCTTCCAGGTCTCCCACATGGGTGCAGGGTCCCAAGGCTTTGGGCTGGCCTTGACTGCTTTCCCAGGCCACAAGCAGGGAGCTGGATGTGAAATAGGGCTGCTGGGATTGGAACCGGTGACCATATGGGATCCTGGTGCGTGCAAGGCAAGTACTTTAACCACTACACTATCGTGCCAGGCCCCAAGTTTTCTTATCTGTCTAGTGAGGAGTTAATAACTCTGCCAATCCCAGCAGAATTCAGAAAGAAATTAGCTTGTCTTATTTTGCAGTCTTGGTGTGAGGTCCACAGTTTTACAGACAGGGGAAGCACAGATATAAACATTACCAAGGTCCTCCCAGTTTGGAAAACCCTGCTGTAAGGGATAGGTTGCTGGGTTTAGGAGTAGCAATCTTTGAAGTAAATTAGATAAATATTTACATATATTCACTATAACCATACACATATTTATAATGAACTTACCATCTTTAAACTAATTTTGAGAACTATATAAGGTGAATTTGTCTTTATAGATTTAGGCTTACAAAATATACTGGAATGAAAACAATATTTTATGTCTTACAGTCCTTTGGTCTGGAAATATATCTCTTATATCGCTGAGGTTGTGAGAGCATATAATTCACTAAAGAAAGATAGATGTAGCATTCAGTTATTCTCTTTGCTGTCATGTAGGTGTTATTTAGTAAATCAGTGTATTACTGCATAGTGACCTATGCCGATGGTGAAATTCAAGTAATATGTAGTTTAAGGGACTCCGACTTGGAGTTTTATCATGAAATTAAATTAGAATTTTTATATATACAGACCAGTGTACATTTATAATTTTCTGTCCATTTCTAAATACCTCTTACATTCTCTGATTTTATTTTAATGCATGTGAAATGCAAAAATGCAAGCCTACTCTCAAAACTACAAAATTGCAGTTGTAGTTTCAAGTGGCTCTTGTTTTTTTGTAACTTGGTGGTTTTGCATACAGACCATACGTTGAAGTTGAAAAGCCATATTGATTTTTTTACCAGGAGTTGGGAAGTTGCTCTAAAGACCAAATCTGCTTCTTTTTGTGCTTTTTTTGTAAATCAAGTTTTGTTGAGACAAAGCCACAACTCATTCCTTTTGTTTTGCCTTTAGCTGGTTTTAGTGTCCAGAGGCACAACTGTTTGTGATAATATGGACTGTGTGGCAGTTAATTCCCCAATATTTGTTGTTGTTCCCTTTACACAAAGCACTTGCTGATACTTGTATAGAGGCTATTTCTATGTAACTCGATCCCAGACCAAGCTGGTGATTAAAGTCTGAGAATGAGATAATTAGGTTTTAAGTTGGTAGCAAGACACATTTAGAATAACTTGATGATTTGTAATAAAATTGAAATGCTGAAATCATTTAAGAATGCTAAAATAAGATCGGAATCTCCAAAGTGGAGAATCCCCTGAGTGACTATCATAATGTTAACTTGGTTCTAGCCGTGGGTCTGTGCGTGCGTGTGGACCAGGAAGAGAAGTGTGCCTCTCGGGAAGGCCGGGACACCAGAGTTCTTCACTCCAAACTTCCCACACAACCCAGTGAACAAAAAGAGCTAAGTGATGTAATGGATCATGGAACAGCATTTTTGTATTGCAAATGCAATGACAGTCTTGTCTTGGTTCATA